AGAGGCAGGATTGCAAGTTCCTGGCCATACTAGGACACATGAACAGTGAGACCCTTTCCAAAAAAGCCAGGAGGTGGTGGCACACCCCTTTAGCCCTAGCACTATGGACACAGAGGCAATTGGATCTCTATGTCTTTCAGGCCAGCCTGGTCTACAGAGCAGCCAAGGATACACAGAAAAACCCTATCTGGGGGTTGGAGCGTGAGGGGTCGGCAGAAAGAGGGAAAAATTAGAAAAGAAATAAACACAAGGAACATCTGTCCAGAAAGCAAAGTCCTTCCACGTTTAAGGAACCAACAACAGGAGTAGCACACCTTGAACAGCAGCACTGAAGGAGGAGGCAGAGGGTGAGATTCAGACCAGCCTCAGCTACAGTCAATGCAAAGGAAGCCTGGGCTACATGAGATCCTGTCTCAACACACACCAGTTCCAAAATCATAAGCATCATACCTGGCAAACACACGGGTTGAACATCCCTAGTTAGAAAACCAAAATTCCAAAATGCTCCAAAAATCCAAAAATTCTTAAGCACCAAACACAAACTCCACCCAGACATCAGATAACAAGACACCAGAAAAAGCGGACAACACTAAATATGAAATCACTTTAAGCTATGGTACAAGGTGCACATGAAACAAAAATGACCTTCAGGTTCACACTTGGATCCCATCCCCGAGATCCCATGATTACATGCTAAAATCTGAAGGAACACACCTCTGGGTCCCAGGCATTTCAGGTAAGAAACAGTCATTGTGTACAACTGGATGAAAAGGAGAAGGTAACACAACTCCTAATGACTGATAAATAAAGTCACATTCTCCCTTAACACTGCAGCTAGTATTCCCAGCTACAAGCACCAACCTACCCACTTTCACTGACCACTAAGAATGGACCACGTTTTTCTCCCTTGTCCACTCCAGCATTCAAGGCAGAAAGGACAGCACTGTTCAATTTAAAAGAGGACTTATACAAACATGATTACATGATTCTCCAAAGAAGACAGGTCTTCCCCTCAGGGGCAGGGGGGAAGAACCCCTCACAATGGCACAACAGGGCCCACCCCCACAAGCAAAGCGAGAGAGAGAGAATCAGAGAAGAACATGTCAGGACTGCAAAAGAGGCTTCTCAAAGTGTGGGGCTGAAACTAGACAAAAAAAAAAAGGGGGGGGGGGGGTAGAGTAAAACCCAGGCAGCAACAGACACGGCAGCTACAGGATGTGAGAGGCCGGCAAGGGTCCAGCTGAAGGGAGGGCATGGAAAGTAGAAAAGAACCCTAAAAGCCAGGCTGAAGGCCATGAACTCAGTCCAGTTGGCAAGAGGCAAGCAACTATTTGAGGTTTTCCGGGGGGACCTAAGTGATTAAAACCAGTAGAAATGACACTGTCAATAGTTACACTAGATAAGAGAAGAAACCTGTTCAGAAAAAAACAGGAATATTAATGCAAAGATCAAACCTAAAACTCCCACCACATTCACGGACTTCTTCCTGTGGCCTCGCTGCCAGAAGACAATCAGAGCCACACTGTGCCAAGCCACTGCTCCTGCCCCTCACTACCTGAGCCTCGGTCCTCAGTTAAATTTAGGGTACCAGCTGCTGAAATTGTCACCAGGACTTGTCAAAGCACCAGTCTAGTCCTGACTGACAGACATGTGACACACGGCACTGCTGCTGCTGAGTGGTAAAATGGGAGAAAAATTGCGGGGCTGAGACGTGAGCAAGGTTCCTAAGGAAAGCTGCCCTGGCAGCCGAAAACAGGGAGTGCAGACTCACCCATGGCCAAGGCTTGAGGGCAGAAAATACAGCCACCTCTAAGACAGACCACAAGTTCCGCCAGACTCGGCTTCAACAATTCCCTTATATTTAAAAACTTGAAAACGTTTCCAGTGGAACACAGACTTGAAGCCTAAGACCAAGTGTCCGAAGAGACAGCACCCGAGGTGTGGGAAAACCCACCCCACACAACCACACCAATCAAGGAAGCGTTGACAACGGCGCAGTCTAGCTCTCCATGAGCAAGCCTCAAGCACAACTTTGAGAAAAAATAAAGTATGCTACGTTTATTTCAAGAATGTTGCCCACAAACTCAGGAAACAGACCTGCTGAGAGCTTCATGTGATATTTATGCCCCCAGAGCAGTAACCAAAGGAAAACATAACACAAAGAAACCACCTCACAACCAAAGGCACGGCTTGACGTTCAGGCAATGCTTGGCAAGTCAAACACTGTTCTGAACACTACACATACACCAACTCCATTGTCTTAACTGTGACACAGAGGGAAGACTCAAGTGGCAGCTCTAGTCTACCCTCAAGGGACAGAGAACCAAGAGATCTTTGCTCAAACAACTACACTACAACACAACACGTGGGGCCTTTCTTTCACAAGTCCTCTGAAGCGCACACTTCTGAAGACAGTTGGCCACACTCTTCTTTGCTCTCCATTCTTAGTTTTCTTTCTGCCACCAGTATTTGGAGAGGCTACCTTTAATATTCAACAGAAGCTGCAGGACTTAAGCGCGATGGCAGAACTCTTGGACTATCCACCCACCATCAGAGGTACCACAGAGCTACAGTCCCAGTGAGAAGACTTGTCAGGACATGGGAAATCCAAGCCTGGCAGAGCATCAGGGAAATGTGTCCTAAATGGTCATCTGGAAAGAACATGGAAAGGGGGACAGAAAGACCAGGGTGGCGCCCCTTGTCAAGGCCTCATCGGAATTACCTTCTGAGCGTTCTCCACCTCATCACCCACAGAGAAAGCCAACACAACACTCACCACAAGGGATCAGTCTAAAGGACAGCTGCACTTCACACCTCCTGGAGGTGGCTCAGAGTCCTTGTCCCCTAGCTCTCTGGTAAAAGGGCAATCAATTGTACTCTTAGGATGCCAAAGGCAGTAAGCAGTGACCCCTCCTGAGCATCAGCTCTCTACAGTCCCTGTTGGGGGCAGTTTGGCGGGGAAAGTGAAGGGTTCACAGCCAGACAGCCACAGGGGAAGGAAGGTCTGAGGACAAAATGTAATGTCTGCTGCTCCCTGCCTTCCTCTTCCCACTTCAGGGATGTGCACTGTAAATGGTATTTCTGAAAATGAGTCCAATTTACATGTACCAGAACAACACAGTCCTCACCAGTGCCAAGGTTTCTGCCATCTCTCCCCTGAATTCCAATGCATTTCTCTCTGTTCGTCTTTATATAAGTAACAAATTACTTCAACTAACTCCATCTAAATGAACTTAAGTGAATCTCCACAGTAATGTTCCATCCTAAGAGAGACTGTGTGGCGGACTCAATTTGTACACAGGCTCTGACCACAAGTGAACCAGCACATTTACTCGACAGGCTGAAGCTCCAAAGGTCCATCTGGCACACCCCTTTTTATCAGAAACCCCATGTTTATAAAGCAATAGCTACCCTTTCTGCTCACTGGCTTGAAAGCTTCCCAGTTCACAGGAAGCATTTATTTCTTGTTTTCTTGGCAGTCAGGTATTATGAAAATCAACCCTGCGAAAACCTTAATTAGATAGACTCGAAATATCAAAAGGTTCTTTGGCATATGTAAAAGAAGTTAAAAGTGTTTAACAGTTCAACAAAGGTCAACACAAAATATAATCTCAAGGTTGGGCTGTAGCTCAGAGGCAGAGCACTTTCCAATAATGCCAAAAAAAAACACATCCAAATTAAGAAACTCCATTTACCACCAATGTCTCATGTTAACAACATGTACAGGTTAGAAGTGAGCTTTAAACAGTGGACTCAGGTGCAAGGATGAGTGGCTTAACTTTTTACACAAATTGTTTCCTTCCCCCACGGGTTAATGTTTGTCCTCAATCCTAGAGATCTCACTCTATTCAAACTACAGGAAAAAGGGAAAGTGATTTGAGGGTTCAATGTTTGTGATTACAGACTTCATGCCTTGCAGGACAGCAAAACTAAGACAGAAATATTCCAAAGCAGCAAAAAAGCTAGACTTAGACTCTAACTGCACACAGAGCCTGCCTAACTCCTTTCAGGCACGTTTTCATCCTACCACCCCTCCCCCATAGGTAAATGCCAACTGTTTCTAGAACTCTCAATGATAATTTGGGAAGCTTGCCATTGACTCCCACGATTCAATCCAACTGATACACAATGTTTTTGTGCAAAGATGCCCTACTTCCCCAGACTATAAACTTATTAAAGTGATGAGAACATACAGTCTCAGGAAGTCGGGATTACTGAAATACTCCAGTAAGCATGGCTCTTATTTAACAAAAATGGACATGAATCACACAGGGAATCCCAAAACTCACTCACTACCTTCAACCGGCCATCCAGATACTCACGGAAAGTCATTTTAGCTCAGTTAAATCAGTATGATAGGGCCTTGGACTACCCGCAAGTGACTTGGGAAGAGGAGGAAAAAGACGTTACTTTACACTGATGGAGGAGCATTCAGTCTCAAGATTCAAACTAAAACTAACACATCATTTCACCCATCATGTTTTATTAACATGTTTAGACCAGTCTAAGGTTTCTATATGGGAAACAAGAAAGCCAACAGTAAACTTCCCTAATTAACTGCAAATGACATAAGTAGGAAAACCCTTCCCCCTGGGTCCTGTGAAGTCTAAGGTTTTAAGAAAACTCCAGACTAAGGAAATGTCGTGTTTGCTACGTTCCAACACTTCTGTGTGATCACCAAATTATTTTCAGTGTTTAGTAACCCAACAAAGAGTTTCTTAAAAGCCACCCAACCCAAATGTTACACGAAACAGACCATTTTCACAACCTAAATTTAATCCAAATTGGGAACTTCCAAAATTACCGAACACTCTAATACATGCATGGCTCGCCTCGAGCTGCCTTTCAAAATGGAATATTACACTTAAATGAAAGTCTGCGCCTGTTCAAAAAAAAAAAAAGACATCGGTTGCAAAGAGGAAGTCACCCAGCAAACACTCACAACCTGGCCTGTACACTGTCAGAGGATAATGTGACTTGTGTGCCACCCTGAAACTTACCAGGAAGCTGGTAATAAGTTTGCCAACTGTATACACTTCTGACCCAACTTTACCGAGGCTGTGGCCAGGGCCTCCTTCTGGAGAGGCCACAGACACAAGGTGCCCACACGCGCGTCCCGAGCGAGCGAGGCCGGGCCGCGCCCCTCCCCCGCCCGCGCCCC